TACCTCAACATTGGTAGGTTTGGAATCACCTCCAGTACTTTGATGCATACTTTGTGTCTTTGGCAATTGAGTGCCAAAAACCTGAAAGCTCTTAGGCTGACTGTCAGTGCAATCAACTTCAATTTCAAAGTTTAGACCACGCACATCAAATAGTTACTTCTCAGTATCAGTTGGGGTGATGTTCTTTAGCCGCAATTATTAAGCACACTAGTTAGAAATAGTAATGATAATAAAACATGGAAAGATTATAGATCCTATTACCATATGATACCAATATGGTATACATGTTACCAACAGAGTATATCATTGATCTGGGATATTGCTACAACTACTGTACCAAAATATTAAAAGATGCAATAAAAGTAAAAGTATAAGTAGTAGAAAAGATCCTTATTACTATATGATACCAATATGGTATACATGTATATCAACAAAGTATATCATTGATATGGGATATTGCTACAACTACCCATTTCTAAACTACTATATCAAAACATTAAGAGGGGTAATAGAAATATGAGAAAATTACGTGCTCGCGTTGCAAGCTAAACATTCGCAAAGCAACTCGCTCATTCTCTATTTGATCCATGACTACCCAATTCAGAATTCATGGAAGTTTGTTTCCAATATGATCAGCAAAGTGACCATCCAAACTTGCGCAGCATTCATACAACCAAATCTGTACTGCCAACGGGAAGCTACCAAGTCTATAAAAAGAAGGCTTATCTTGAAATTTGTTGGAACGCGAGTCGATTGTAGCGTTATAAACATCTATACCCCAGGGGTAATTATTAAAATCACCGCACTTAAACAAGTCAATGTAAGACCGTGAAATAACCTTTTTTTTAACAGAGAAAGTAAGAAGCTGTTCAGAAAAGGCGTAACGGATTTCTGTCACGACCCCAAATACCGGTCGTGAAGGCGCCTATCACATTACTAGGCAAGCCGATTGAACAATTAACCACATCCCTTTTTCTTAAGCATTAAATCATTTTTTACGCAGGTTTAAATGCCATATTTCTATAATAAGCGTGTAAAACAAAAGATAAATATGCGGAAGTCAATAAAACATGAACTACATAGCCCCACAAATCTGGTGTCACGAGTCTAGAGCCTCTTATACAAGTCTGAACTCTACATCAATAGTCTAGGAAATGCGGAAAAGATAACAAGATAGAAGGGAGAAATTAGGGTTGCGGATGCCATGCATCTACCTCGAAATCCCCGGCAAATGCTGAATAACTGAAAAGCTCTCACTCGGCCGCTCAGGCACCTGGATCTGCACACAAGGTGCAGGGAGTAACGTGAGTACGCCAACTCAGTAAGTAACTAAAGTAAATAAGTACTGAAAGCAGTGACGAGTAGTTCAAAAAACATATAACTGAGAAATCACAGGATAACAGATCAACTTTACAGTTAAAAACCAGTTTCGTCAAAGAATAAGCTTTTCCAGTTTAAACATTTGAAACAGATACTTAACAATAATTTCCATAGAGGCTTATCTTAAAAAGGGGAGTGAAATCAGTGAAAACATCATAACTGGGCCCCTCGGGCAAGGAATCACTCGAAATATGGCCTCTCGGGCAGCCTCTCAGTCACTCGTGACTCAACCCTCGTCACTCAGTCTCACAATATCTCATAATAATAGAAATCATAATAACCGCTGCGGCGTGCAGCCCGACTCATATACATATAGTCGACTACGCTCACTGGGGGTGTACAGACTCCGGAGGGGCTCCTACAGCCCAAGCGTCATATCGCTGCGGCGCGCAGCCCGATCCAATACTATATATACTAATATACTATATACACTGTGCNCGCGCAGCCCGATCCAATACATATATATATGTATATATATATATATATATGTATATATATATATATATATATATATATATATTGCTGCGGCGTGCAGCCCGATCCATATAAGTATCGCCGCGGCATGCAGCCCGATCCGTATCCCACATATATATAAATGTCCTCACACTTAGTTCCTCGACCTCTCTCAGTCATTAACCTCACAGCCTCTCGGGCACAATCGTGGAAATTGGGGAACTCAGCCCAAATAGTTCTCTCTTTTAAAAGTGACAAGAATAAACCAGTTTTATGCGTTTAACAGGTAAAACGTGACTGAGGATATGTTTTTAGCAAGTAAAGTGAGGAAAAACAGTCAAAATGCCCCTAAGGGTTTCTGCAGGTCGGCACAAAGCCCCAAACATGGCATACAGCCCATAACACAGTATAGATATTCAAAATACGGGAAAATATAATATTTCCAAACCAAACACACGACTTAATAGTTTCTACGGGACGGACCAAGTCGCAATCCCTACCGGTACACGCCCACACGCTCGTCACCTAGCATGTGCGTCATCGTGTTTATCATAACAAGTAAAATACCGGGGTTTTCTACCCTCAGTTCCACATTTACAATGGTTACTTACCTCAAATCGGTGAAAATACTACTCTACGACGCCTTTTCCCCTCGAATCGGCCTCCACTCGCGTCGAATCTATCCAAAATCACAAGGATGACGTCAAAGTATGCTAAGGGGACGAAGCCCAAGCGAAAACAATCAAAATAATACCAGAATTCCGGGCCCTGGGCCCACTTCTCGAAATTCAAATTTTTTTACATCAATAGATTCCTTATCCCCCCCCACGAGTTCATACATATCAAAAGTGTTCAAATCCGACCCCAAATGGTCCTTCAAATCCCAATTCAAAAGTCCAATTTCTCAAGCCCTAGTTCTTCAATTTTTGGCTTAGCTTTCATGATTTTCTAGGTGGAATTCACATAATAATAGAGTTTTTAGACCAAGAATCTTACCTCCCAACGATTTCCCTTAACTCCCTCTTCAATCTCCTTCAAAAATCTCCAAAAACGAGCAGCTATGGTTGAAAATAGACCCACCTTCGCGAAAGACTTCTTTTAAATTCTTCTGACTAGTTACTTTCGCATCTGTGGTACAGTAGCCGCTTTTGCGGTACCGCATATGCGGTTATTCTTCCGCTTCTGCGGACTCCACTTATCCTGCCAAGCATCGCATCTGCGGCTACATTTCCGCATCTGCGGCAGCGCAGATGCGGTTACCCTTACCGCTTCTGCGGTCACTGCTCGCCTGGCCTCCTTTCCGCTTCTGCGACAGCTCTCCCGCACGTGCGGCGCCGCACTTGCGGTCCCCAAACCGCAGGTGCGAAAACACCACCAGCAGCAAAACTTCAGCAGCTTCTAAACTTCAAAAATGGCCCGATTGACCACCCGAAACTCACCCGAGGCCCCCGGGACCTCAACCAAAGGCATCAACATATCCAAAAGCCTTATTCAAACTTGTTCCAACCATCGAAACACTTCAAACAATATTAATTCAACCAAAACACATCGGATTCAAGCCTAACTTCCTAAAATCTTCCGAAATACGCTTTTGATCAAAAACCCAACCAAACCACGTCCGAATGACTTGAAATTTTTCACACACATCCCAAATCACATAATGAAGCTACTGCAACTCTCAGAATTCCATTCCGACTCCTACATAATCTCACCTACCAACCGGAAATCGCCAAAATCTCAACTTTGCCAATTCAAGCCTAAATCTACTCCGGACCTCCAAAACCTATTCCGATCACACTCCTAAGTCATAAATCACCTCCCGAAGCTAACCGAACCATCGAAACTCACATCCGAGCACTCTAACACATAAGTCAACATCCGGTTGACTTTTCCAACTTAAGCCTTCCTAAAAGAGACTAAGTGTCTCAAACTTCACCAAAACCAATCCGACCAACCTGATACCTCAAAATACGGATAAACAAGGCATAAAGAAGCAGAAATGGAGGAAACGGAGCGGTAACTCATGAGACGACCGGTCGGGTCGTCACACTTTCTGGCCACTTAAACTTGTACCACTTTGTAAAACCGATACATGAACTTATATTTTTCTTATTTGAACACTTCAACTTGACGAAATGAATACTAATAAGCGCTTTCTGTTGAATGTGTTCGCCAGTCGCTCTGACATGAATGCCATGTCACATGTTTGGTCTTTATTATATGACATTTGGATTTGTGGGTCCTATATTTTAAAAAAAATTAATCTTTAAAATTTTTAATTTCTTTTTCTTTCTCTTTTTCTCTACCATACACAGCTAATAGTTCGCCAACAACTCCAAACCTTAGCCATTTTCAACCACCATCATCTTCTTCCCCCTATATGAAAGCTTCATATTCAAATCATAATCACCTACCACCGAATCACACCTTCCCCCCTTCACCCACCATTTTTCAGTAAAATCTATTATTGTTCCACCAACCTAAATCATCCAAAAAGCTAACAAACATTTATTTTAAAGTGTTTCACTAAATGCCACAGGTATCAAAGCACCCTAATTTTTTTTCAATTCATCTATCAGCTGCAATCTACTAACTAGGTGTACTATAGAAGAAAGAAAAGAAATGGAAAAGAAAGAAAAAGAGAAAAGGGGACTGATGGCAACGAATAATGAATGGAGGCACTGGTAAAGAGGAATTGAGGGAGGTTGGAACGAGAAAGGTGGGTGGTGACTAGTAAATAAAAGAAAAGATTATTGAATGGGGAAGACAAAAGGAAAAAGAAACGGGAAAGGGGAGGAAAAGTAGGATAGAAAATAAACAAAAATTACAGGATGGGGATGGGAGTTCCCTTGGGAAGATGAGAGAGGTGGGAGGGGAGGGAAAAGAGAAGGGGAGAGAGAAAGAACTTTTTTTCTTTCTTATTTATATTTTATTCTATTTCTATTATTTTTAATAAAAATAAAACTATTCACGCACCTTGGCAGCATGATTTGCACACAATTTAGCCATGTCAGCTATGCCACTTCCACATAGGCTTGGTCAATGGTCAAATGTGTTTATTAATATTCACTCCGTCAAGTTGAAGTGTTCAAATGGGAAAAATATAAGTTCATGTATCAACTTTACAAACTGATACAAGTTTAAGTGGCCACAAGGCCATTTGGCCTTCAGAAAATAAAAAGAACTGCTATCTTTAATGCATCATCATCTATTTCCCATTTCTTCTTCGTAAAATAGTCTACTAGTTGGGCCAATATCACAGATGCAGTCCCAAAATATTTTGAAATTAACTTATTCTCTTCTACGCTCTCTATACTTGTATCACCCTTACATTTCAGCCCAGTAACGAGTGCAAATTCACCCAAACCAAAGTGCAACCTAGAATCACTCACTACAAACCGCATCTCATTTTTCACCTCATGATGTACTTCTCTAATAAGCAAATGGTGCATAACTCGAATCTGCACAATAACTGGTGGCAGATCCAAAAAATATCCAAAGCATGTTTTCTTAAACATCGAAGTTGCGTCTTTGATAAATTCTCTTTCAACAGACGAATAACATGGCAGTTGGTATCCCAATCAACCTTTGGTTTATAATATATATCCATAGGCACAAGGAAATCCCAACACTGCAAAACATGTTCATATAAATAATTTCATAAATAGAATTCGCTTAAAAATGCAACTAAAACATAAAAATATTACAACTACCATACGACACCGACACGACATATAACTATACCAACATGATATACAGTTTTACTGGCTAATTCCCGACAACTATAAATGACTATACTACTATTACATAACAGATAGACATAAAGAGAAAAAGCAAAAAGGTATGCAACTGTAAAGTATTTTCAAGGTATTGTACGATACTACTACCATTAAAGGAAAAAAAATAGCCAAGATAGCCAAAAAAGGATCCAAAAGCATATGATACCAATATAGTATATAGCTATACTAACAGGATATATAGTTATATGGGGTTGTTCTAACAGCTGCCTATAACTATAAAAATTATTACATAACACACATATACTATGTCTATAGGCATAAAGGAATCTCAACAATGCAAAACATGATCATATAAATTATTTCAAAAATAAAATTCACTTAAAAATAACATAACTGACTATAACTATAATATAATACAAAAGCATACCAGGAATTCAAAAGATAACAATGTACTATACATTCAAAAGCACAGATCCTAATTTCAAGAAAATTACGTTCTTGGATGCGACACCAATTTTTTTCTACTTTAACTGAGAATTATCGCTACAATCAACATCTAGTGGTTGAGTCTCTATTTCAGGCACGGAATCACGTTGGCTTCCCCCTAACTTAGAATCCTCAATAACTTTACCTTTTCCTTTATCATTCACAGCAATATCTGCTATGACTGGTTCGGTATTTGTGTCGGGTAATGACTGGTAGGGAGTTCCATCGACTGACGAAGCATCAATATTGTTACCTTTTTTCACCCTCTAATTCTACATTTTCAATTGTGTTTTCAACACGACTACTGCTAGGGTTAGGACTAAACACATACGGAGAATTAGAAAATAATGAAAAACTAGGACTGGACATGACTGAGGCAACAGATTCAGCAGCTACTTGGGTTGAAGAATGATGTTGTCCATGGTGCCACCATATACGCGCACAATGCTTCCCACCCATAGTGAAAACAACAATCCATAGACATTGATTCACAAAAGTACAAAGAAAAATACAAAAATTCTATGAGTTTGAAAACCTAATTTCACTAAAATGTACTTTCACAAGCAAAAATTTCACCCAGAAATTATTATTAGATGAAGAGATAGAACGGAATCTGAAGAAAAAATTTAAAACTCGAATCTGGGTGAAATATGGGTTCTCATGGTTTGGCTATGGAGATTCGGAAACTGTCCGTAGCGTTAAAGGACGAAGACAAAATAAATGAGGCATTAAAATGGTAGGTACGGGATCCGCTAATTGCGATGGGCTGCTGGATGAAATAGCTTGGGCCGGGTATGAGAATCCGCAAATAGGTGGGCCGCGTAAATATTGATTTTACCCGACATTTTGTTTCAAAAAGTATAGAAAGATGATTCAAGTCATAAATGAAAATATTGATGTACATGGTAGAAGATGATAGTAATAAATGTTGATTTTCTTAATGGGCACGGCTTATTAAAGAGATATACTTGTCAAAATAGGCCAAATGTGTTACCTTTACCCTGTTGTGGCTCTAATTTGATTGTTGATCAAGATATAGAAAAATATATTCGTGAACAGGAAAATGTATCTACAATTGATATTTTTATCAAATAAATGAATACAAGACATGTGTCTTACATACATATTTTTATTATTTATTTAAGATAAATAACATGTATTTGCGCTTCTTTTGTGACTGCTATGATTAATTTGTTATCTTACATAATAGTAATTATTTAAACTAGCAAAACTAAGTAACAAAGATGTGTGTGTTGGGTTTTTATATAATTAGATAAGAAGTGTGGATGAGAAATAGAGGGAAAAGATTTGGAGGGAAACAAGAAGTTTGATGTTGTTTCCTTTGCTAATGCACTTTGTCACTTATCGAAAATGGAAAGAAAATCTTTGTGCTTATATAAAGAAGCACATCTTCTAGCTCTTAAAGATTAAAGAAGAAGTGGTGCCTCGTGCCATTGTTGTCGCTCAACTTCGGCTTCGGTCAACTGATATGATTGATTGATAATTTTTCGGACAAAATTTATTTCCCGTTATATAATTTCTTTTCTATTATTTTTTTGCAACATTTTAATTTAAAATTCGCAGTTCCCGTCTTGAGTTTAATATTCGCGGCTAGACTTTTACCGAAATGGTACCACATATGAACAGGTACCTTCGCACCTATTCAACCCAAACCGTTTGGCTATAAATTCAGAGGTTTTGCCTCATTTTTTAGCACCGAAATCTGCATACTCTCCCATCTCTCTTATGCATTGTTTTCCAACAGCAAAACGTAAGCATCATATATTATCGTTTGTTGAGTTCGACGAAGTTATGTAATTTTCATTGCCGGTATTTGTAACGACCCATTTGGTCGTTTCGAGTTCTCCTTTTGTACTTTACAACTGTTATATGACTTACCGGGTTTGTTGGCTCGGTTCTGGAGAGATTTCAGAGTGAATTGAGACACTTAGTCTCATAATTGAAAGCTTAAGTTGGAAAAGTTGACCGAATATTGACTTATGTGTAAACGACCTCGAATTTGAATTTTGATGGTCCCGTTAGCTCCGTTGGGTGATTCTAGACTTAGGAGTATTGCCGGATTGTGATTTGTAGGTCCGTAGTAGAATTAGGCTTGAAATGACGAAAGTTGGAATTTTGGAAAGTTTGACCGGTAGTGGACTTTTTGATGTCGGGGTCGGATTGGATTTTCCGAAGTTGGAGTATATTCGTGGGGTCATTTGCGACATGTGTGCAAAATTTGAGGTCAATCGGACGTGATTTGATAGGTTTTGACGTCGCATGTAGAATTTGGAAATTTCAAAGTTCATTAGGCTTGAATCCGTGTGCAATTCATGTTTAAGATGCTGTTTGAGGTGATTTGAGGGCTCGACTAAGTTCGTATCGTAGTTTAGGACTTGTTGCTATATGTCGTTGAGGTCTCGGGGCCTCGCGTTGATTTCGGGTGGTTAACGGACTCGGAATTTGATTTGAGATGTTACTGAAGTCTGTGTGTTGCTGGTGTAATCGCACCTGCGGAGTGGGAATCACAGATGCGAGCCCGTAGGTGTGGGTGAAGGTCCGCAGATGCGAAAATGGAGGAGCGAAGGTAGATGGACGCAGGTGCAAAGATTTTCCCGCACATGCGAGACCGCAGATGTAGGCTGAAGACTGCAGAATCGGAGAAAGGAAATGGAGATGGGCTCCACAGAAGTGCAGGATTTCACGCAGGTGCGTGTCTGCAGGAGCGGATATGGGAGCCGCAGATGCGGAGGACATCGCAAAAGCGGGCATTTTGTCGCTCCTGCGAGGCCGCAGAAGCGGCTAAGGTGCCGCAGGTGCGGAAAGCCTGGGCAGAACCTATATAAATGAAGGTTCTGAGATTTTTGCCATTTCTAACATTTTGAGCTCGAATTTTGGAGGTTTTTGAAGAGATTCTTGAGGTAAACTCCTTGTGTTCATTTTTCTTCAATAATTATGTTTTCCCACTGATTTTCTACCTAGTTGGTGTATTTTTGAGGTGTAATTTGGGGGTTTGAGGCTAGGGATTTGGAGAGTTAATTTTGGGGATTTGAATGGCCATTTGGTATCGAATTTTGATAAAATTGGTACGGTTAGACTTGTGAGTGAATGTGCTTTTGGGTTTTGTGACTTTTGTTGGATTTCGAGACGTGGTCCCAGGGGTCGACTTTTGGCCAATTTCGGATTTTAGCTTATAAATTCGTATTTTCTTGTGGAATTGATTCCTTTAACCTATATTGATTGTATTGTACAACTTGTGGTTAGATTCAGGACGTTTGGGGAATGATTTGAGAGGCAAAGGCGTGTAGGAGTAGAGTATTGCTCGGATTGAGGTAAGTAACACTTTCAAACTTGGTTTTGAGGGTCCGAAACCCCGAATTATGTGTTATGTGATTGGTATTGAGGTGACGCACATGCCAAGTGATTGGTAGTCGATTCCATGGCACTGTAAAGTGGTCCTATCTTGTTGATATCCGTATTTTTACCACGTTATAAAATAACTGAACTGTCAATCATGCTAGAGATCATGTTTAGGCTATATGCTAGTATTGTTGGGACCGATAATGGTCGTTTCTTGCTGTTGACTTACTGATCTCATTGATATTTCATACTCAGTCATGTTCATTCATTTCATCTCATATCTCAGTCTCTGTTGTTATTTGTTGATACATCATATCATCATGTTCAAGCTAGTTTCATGACATTGTGAGCCCGTGAGTGAGACTGGAGAGATTGGTGACTGAGTGAGGCCGAGAGCCTGATTACGAGTGACATTTATGGGAACGGGCTGCACGCCCCAGCGATTATACTAATTTATGATGGCGCTTGGGCTGAAGGAGCCCCTCCGGAGTCTGCACGCACCCCAATGAGCACGGTTGATATTATTGAGGGATGGATCTTTCCTGGACATGGATCTTGTCCGAAGCATTATATACCTGGAGATGGATCTTCTCCACGGGCTGGATTGGCCCTGCTCGGTACTGGGTGACTGATGGTCAGGGTGATGTATATATTCCGGGATGGATCTTCCCTGGGCCGTGTGGGCCATATACAGTACTATGTGATTGAGCATTTAAGAGTGTGAGCACATGAGGCTGTCAGCATGGTGTATTGCATACAACATGTGAATTGGCATGTAGAAGTAAAGGAGTTATATCTTCATGTCATTCAGATTTGACCTATTTTACTGTTTTGAGTTATCTATTGAACTGGAAAGCATGCCTACGTTTCTGCACTATTATTTCTATATTGAACTGTGCCGATTGAGTTCGTCACTACCTTTTAGTCCAAAGGTTGGATTTGTTACTTATTGAGTTGGCTGTACTCACGCTACACCCTGCACCTCGTGTGCAGATCTAGGTGTTTCCGGTCATGGCGGCTGCTGATTGAGGAGTCAGGATCTCGGAGACTATCGAGGTAGCTGCATAGCATTCGCATGCCTTGACTCTCCTTCATTTTCTTTATCTGTATTTCAATTCTTATTTCTTAGACATTGTAGTAGACTGTATTCCGGTATAGATGCTCATGTACTAGGTGACACCCCGGTTTTGGGATAAATTGTATTGTGTTGCGGATTTATTTCTGTTTCAAAAAGGTTTTCTTAAATATTAATTGCTCCCGTCTATATTTTTCAAAGCTTTTACTGTGTTGAGATGGTTGAGTAGTGGAATGCCTAGTTCCACGATAGGTGCCATCACGACGGTTGGTTTTGGGTCATGGCGGTATTACAGAATAGTTGTTCCGTTCTATCCTGGGAGGAACTAATCCAACAACCCTGAGCAACAGTGAGGGGATTAAATTCCTTAAGAAAACATAATTTTCTATTGGGCTCAAAATTTTGTTCATCTGATTCTATTTCTATCTTTTGTTTCTGGTTTTGTTTTGTTCTGCAGAAATTATATTTTCGAATACAGATTCTAACAAGCTTAAGGAATTTAAATTTTATATTATGTGTTCATCTTACTTTCTACTTTGGGAGATTAAAATCCTAGCGATTTTTACTCCCGTTTTGGAGATTAAAATTTTCAATTTTTCTACTCCAGTTTGAGATTAACGTCTTTTTGTGACTTTCTACTCAATCAGATTAAAATCCTTGTGATTTTCTACTCGGTTATTTGTATTCGGTTTGAAGATATAAAAACTTCACCTACTTACTAATTCTGGTTGTGTCAATTTTTTTATACAGAAAAATGACAATAAGTACAGAATAATAGAATGGTTCTGTTGGGACTACTGCTGCTGCAATGGCTACTGCGTCTCAAGTCGCACAATTCCTGCATCGGCGATGGCACCGACAGAAAAGTCCGAAAAGTTTTCCGGCGTGGACTTTAAGCGTTGGTAGCATAAAATGTTCTTCTACCTGCCACACTCAGTTTACAACGCTTTATCAGCGAGGACGTTCCAATTTTGGGAGAAGAAACTCCTGAAAATGAGTGATTTGTGGTCATGGAGGCATTCTG